AGGAGGGGGGGTGGAGTGGGAAGGGAGGAGAGGGGAGGGGGAAAGTTGGAGTGAGTGAAAAGGAATGGGAAAGTTGGAGTGAGTGAAAGGGAGTGGGAAAGTTGGAGTGAGTGAAAGGGAGTGGGAAAGTTGGAGTGAGTGAAAGGGAGTGGGAAAGGCAGAGGAGAAGGGAGCGGGAGGAACGGGTTGCGTGGGCGGGGAGGAGTGGGGAGGGGGAAAAGTCCATGGATGGGGTTTGGAGGGGGGGGAGAGGCAGGGGTGGTAACGGAATAATTTCACTTTGAATAAAAAGAAGTGAGTGGAGGTATTCCGATCTTGTCACGGTCATCGGGTTGTTTCTTGCGTACCGAAAGCGTGACATCGAATCGATGAAGTAAGCGTCGCGATATGTTCTTGGTGTTTGTTTTTGTTTTGTTTGTTTTTGGGGGGGGGTTTTAGGGGGAGGGGATGTTCTTCACTTCTTTTTTTTCGTTGTTTTTTTTCTTTTTTTGGGGGGGGAGGGGTAATGTAGGTCAGATGTTTTACATACCCCCATCGACACAGTTAGCTCATTTAGAAGGTGGGCTTTGACGCGCTACCTGTCAGCGCTAACCCAGTCTGGCTGGGGACACGGAAGGAGACCAAGAACGTCGTTGGAACGAGTCTATAAAGGACACCATCAGATGCGACGATTTAACCACTCGCAGCTGAGAGGCGATTAGTATATGTGAGGCATCGTGGGAAAATCAGGCGCCCGTCAAAATATTGGAATCGAAGAAATAGCCTTTTTTTTCAAGAATTTGTCAATTTCATCAATTTTTTATTTCTTATTTATTTTTATTTTTTGGGGGGGAGGGGGGGCTCAACACCTTTCATGTCTACTTTAAAAAACACTTTTCCAAGTGAATTTTACTCAAAAACATTGATTAAAGTCACAAAATATATAAATGTTCAGTTTCAAAGGACTCTCAAGATTTTGAAGTTACCAAACTTTGGCAATCACTTTCTCCCTAATTTTATATCTGGAAACAGGCGACCCCTACCTCCTTCAGTCTCAAATATCTAGACTTCTATTTCAGATAGATTTGTATTTTTTAAGCAAAAGATATACAAATAAATTAAGCTTTCTGATGATACAAAAACTCCAGATTATGCTAAAAACAAATTGACGAACACCTGGCTCCACAACGACGTGACACATCGTTTCTCCTAGCGACACTAACCGGTACCAGCGGGAGGAAAAAGAGGAATAAAAAGTAAGATTATAGTGCGGTCAAAAATTCGTGGCGCGACTTATTGTCAAATATCTCCTCAACTATCGAACGTACGTTCTCCAATTTTTGCACAGTGACTTGTATCAATTTGTCTTAACAGATCAACATTTTTGTAAACATCTGCAAGCTGTATTCTAGAAAATGCCTCAATAAATACTAACACAAAATCGAAGTGGATGGTTTGTGCAGATTTGTAAATGTTTACAGCTGGGGCAAAATTGCTTTTAATAGCAAATCCGTCAGGTTTTTCTCATCAGGACACTATGCTTATTGAATGCATGCTTAGAGAGCCATCAGTGCAAAAAAATGTGTTCACTATAAAAATAATTTCCCGTAACAAGTTTTGCAAGTAAAATGTGTCATTGATGAGCTGTGACGTAGGCCATATACGTAATCAAAATGTGTGTGAGAAGCAGGACGGGCTGTGAACAATACCATTTTACGTGTGACAGAGATTTCAAGTATTTTATATAAATATATTAAGAAAAGTTTTTTAATCTAATCCCAATTGTTCTGGAAAAATATGATTTAGTTAAGACAACTTGATACAAACTGCTATGCAAATTATGGGTGACGTTGATTCACCCGTTAAAGAGATATTTGACGATAAGTTGCGCTACGAATGTTTTACCGTACTAAAGCTGAAAGAAAGAAGATATGTGGGACGTACCTTAAAATTGGTCACGACACTTTCTTTTTTTTTTTTGTAATACGGAATCAGGAATTGAACTTCACAACACTGACGCAAAACAGAATAAAACTAGTAAGACAATCTTGTTCGGGGGAAATTCATGCTGCTACTTCCAATTAAAAACGCTTTATTAAAACTGTACGTTATCGGTGAGGCTTTGTATTTCAAGACGGCAGTATTGATTGAACTTGTTCACTGTCACTGACAGATTCGGTACTAAGGGAAGTAACTAAAAAATGTCAAACAAACAAAAAGCTCGAAGAGAACATTTTAATTAAGGACAATAGGAGGGTCGCGATCGTGCATTATGATTGTTTTAGAACTTGTGTCGAAAGATCGTGAGAGAAAGAGAGAGAGAGAGAGAGAGAGAGAGAGAGAGAGAGAGAGAGAGAGAGAGAGAGAGAGAGAGAGAGAGAAAGAGAGAGAGAAATACAAACAGACAGACAGACAGACAGACAGACAGACAGACAGACAGACAGACAGACAGACAGACAGACAGACGGATAAAGTGAAGGGAGTGCGGAAGTTGAGACAGATAGCCAGAGAAAGACGGAAGAAGGAGGAGGTAGATAGAGACGGACAGCAAGAGTATGCAATTGGTTAGGAGACGGAAAGTGATTTTTTTTAAACTCGGGTTCGATCGAAAAAGAGGCCCCGGCCACTGAAATAGTCTAAATCACGTACTGTAAGGGCTACAATAAATATTAAGAACTTCGTTTAGTTTTAGTAGAAGCTTTACGGTCCTCGCAACTGCATAAAGTCATATAAGCGCCAAGGGTGGATGTCAACAGAGAAGTTCTTACAGGGAATCAGACTCACCTTTCTAGTTTCAACAGCACAATATCTGCTTCGACTATCAAGGCACCCCGGAAATAGCGGGTTACAAGAGTGTTACAAACATACAAAAGAAGTCGTGGGAAAATGACGATAGTAAGGATTAAGAAAGAAAGAGCAGCAGTTTCCTGTTGCAGTTCAGGCACTGTTATGAGCTTGACATTGGTGAATCAGCCCATTTACAATTCTACTATTCGTAAGAACATGTTAATGTCCCCCCTTTGTGAATGGCCTAGAGACACTTCAGTCAGTAGCATCGCCTCCCCCCCCCCTTCCCCACCAGGGGGGTGGGTTAACAACTGAAATCTGAAACCTCATACAAAGTTGAAATAACACTGGCGGATTATGATTGCACTTAGTGTGCTCAGGGTTCGACTTGTCGCAGTCTTTTTTTTTTTTTTTTGGTAAGTTTTTTTACGGTGCTCGCAACTGCATAAGGGCATATGAACGCAAGGGACACACCAAACAGTTTCATTCGGTAGGAAATTTTGCATTTTGCCCGGGTAACAACCGAAGCCTACTTTTATCGATTTTAGACCACCAAGGGATCTGTAATATGCACAACTTGCACACGGGACCGAG